TTTTGAACTTTAAAATTGGGGCTGGAGAGATGGCTAAGTGGTTAAGAGCACTGGCTGCTCTTGCAGAAGACCCAGGTTCAAATCCTAGCACCCACATGGTGGCTAACAGTGGTTCATAACTCCAGTTCTAAGGGATCCAACGCCCTCTTCTGTCCTCTGTGGGCACTGCACAACATGGGTGTGCTTACACCTACACAGACAATACACTCATACACATAGAAATAAAAATAGAAACCTTAAAATCATTTTCAATTTTTAATATTTTCACCTAAATATGGTAGCTTTGTTCCTACATTGCAGCCAAAATTAGTTTTTTATATCACTCAATTTTAAAATACATTTTAGCCCAGAATTATACGCTGTGCTTTTAATATACTGTTAACAAAAACTGAATTAAAAAGAAGGGGTGGAACTGACACTCAAAACCACACCAGTTTTTTAGTGTTTATCAGAACTTAAATATTTTAGTCTACTCAGAGTGAGCTCACTGTTATTTTAAATTTTTTTCTAACTATAGCTTTAACAGTAAAAACTAAAATGCCCCCAGTACTGCCCTTTCCATTGTGGAAAACAATCTTAAAAGCTGCATACAATTAGCAATAACAGAATTGAACCATGATGAATTGCTTTCTCCAAAATCTATATAAATAACATATAAATGACCAGAACTGCTCTTATGTGGACTACACTGTATTTTTGACTTGCTCATATTTTTATAACTTGAAAGATAAAATAAAGTTTGCATTTTAATAAGTTTTCTCCAGTTGGTCTTAAGGTATTTTTTTTCTTTTTTTGTATTTAAGGCTCCAGAACAGGTAATTGTTTCTTTATAGGGTTTATTTTTTTAAAAAAGTATTTATCTTTTGTGTGTCTGTGTCTGTGTCTGTGTCATCTGTGTGGGTCTGTGTGTCTTAATAAATGCTGCGTGTGTGCAGGAGACCAGAAAAGGGTGTCACATCCCCTGAAACTGGAGTTTCTTGCAGCTGTGAGCTGCCTGATATGGATACTGGGAACTGAACTCAGGTTCTCTGGAAGAGCAGCAAGCACCTTATTTTAAAATTTTGTTTTTATTGAATTTTTGTGTATTTCATACAGAATATTTCAAACAGTCTTAATAATCTTTATACCCCCGTCCCCACTAGCACCCTCCCATAATCCCCCAACTAGAACCCATATACGCTGTCATCTGTGTTAAGGTCCACTGTGTCAAGTCAGTGTCTCCAGACATTCCCCAGTGCAAGTCCATCCATTGAGGTCTAGTCAGCGTATCTACAGTCCCTTGTTTTAGGAAGATCAGTTCTTCCTCACCTTGGAGTAATCAGCTGCCAGTATTTCTTCACATAACATTGGGGTATGCTGTTCATTTTCCCAGTTCTATGCTGGTACTTGGACAGGACTCCTGTAATTAAACTTCATCCATCCCGGGCTAAGAGACCGTCGTGGAAAAGGGGGCCAATAGATTGCAAGAGACAGGGAGGAGGTACGTGACCATATGGAAGCAGAGTCCTACAAGCTCCTGGGACCCTGCTCATATGAACCTACAGCAATGGTGTCAGCATGCACAAGTCCCATGCAAACTCAGGCAGCAAGCATACATGCACACATACACAGGATAGCCCCAATGAGGTTAAAGGATAAGTGCAATGTTTGGGAAGGAAGTGAGAAGTCAAAAAAGAGCCAAGAAGGTAATCCTTTAATTTTGAAATTTTGCTGAATTAGCTATTACCAGAAATTAGGCAAGAAATTTGGTAGAAGAGGATTTCATTTGCTATTTGTTGTACGAAGATTTCATACAGGGTAGGAAAAGTAAGCTTGCTTTATTCCTGCCTATGTGTACTTGAAGGTGTAAAAAATATATGTGCTATAACACAGTCACATATTTAGTAGGGAAATGGTAAGGCATATTTAGGTTTTTTTTGAGAATTGATTGTAAATCAAAGTATTTCATCAAAACTTTTGCTACCAAACTATTCTAGTCAATGTGTCATTTGCCAAGTGCTTTTTCCACGAAGGATTACTCATCGGGCTATTTATCTAAATCTAGCATTCTAGAGAAACACTAAAAGAGGAGTGTATAGAGTGCTGTTGCAGTAATGTGTTACATGGAAGGTCTTAGGATACAGCATAATTCTGGGAATAAATGGGCAAAAACCTTCAAGATAGGTGGCTTGCAAAAATTTTATTCTGACCCATAAGATGAATGTTTTACTTCACAATCCATTATACAAATACATAAATATATCTATTTAAAACATAATTCTTGCTTAACCACTTGTGATATACTCCTGGGATTATTTCTTTTAATTTCAGGCTATCTTTTTATTACAATTATCTGCTCAGTTGATTTTAACAACTTCTTAAAGGATTGAACGAATAGTTTGAAGAACACAAAAATTGAACAAAGTTGGGACTGAAGAGATGGGTTAGCAGTTAAGAACACTGGCTTCTCTTGTACAGGACCTGGGTTTGATTCCCAGCACCCACATGGCAGCTAACAACCATCCATTACTCCAGTTCCAGGGGAATCCAACACCCTCTTCTGACCTCTGTGGGTATTGCACAACACAGGTGCACTTACACACATGCAGGCAATACATTCATACACATTAAAATAAAAAAAAAATACCCTTTCCCCTTTCCTGTGTGTCATCTTTGATGAGGACCTTGAGGCACAACACCATTTTCTTCCCATTCCCTGTCTTATAACAGAAGATTGGAACTAAGAAAGCAAATACTACTCACTGAACAGAACATGGGACTGAGATATGTGACAGTGAAAAGAAGGAAAACAGGAAAGAAGCTGCCTTATTTTAGACGCTCATGCAGAGGATGAAGGCATCTGTACTGAGATACTTTTTGCAGGTGCTTTAATATTATAAAGAAGATGTATTTCAATGAATTTTAAGTCAATTTTATGTGTTTTTTTCCCCTTCACCTTGAACCCTGCAAGTAGCTCGATGCCAAACTGTTTTGACAAAACCTATAGTGGTCTGTAAGATGCAAAATCCTGATCTCAGATCCAGAGATCTGTATTTTTTTTAATTTTCAAAATTTTTATTTATGATTTTTATTTTATGTATACGAGTGTATTGCTTACATGTGTATAAGTGCACCGTGTTGTGCAGTGCTTGCAATGGTCAGAAGAGGGCATTGGATTCCCTGGAACTGGAATTACAGACAGTTGTTAGCTGCCATGTGGGTGCTGGGAATTGAATCTGGGTCCTCTCTGCAAGAGCAGCCATGCTCTTAACCACTGAGCCATCTCTCAAATCCTGGAGATCTGTTTAAAACCATTCTAAAACAATTTTATACTAAAAAATGGGACTGGAGAGATGACTCTGTGGTTAAGAGCACTGGTTGCTCTTGCAGAATTTCCAGCACCCACATCGCAGCTAACAACTGACAGTAACTCCCGTTCCAGGGGATCTGATGCCCTCTGCTGGCCTCTTGCACAACAAGGATGTACTTATATACATGCAGGCAAAACACATAAAAAATAAAAACAAAATAATTAAAAGATTCTACCCCCAATGTGCTTCCTGATCTCAAACAGTTCACTTAGTCTGGGCCTCTGTCTTCAGCTGTTGAATAGATATCCTGTTTGCACAATCTCACCTACCAGGTAATTGAGAGGGTCCAATAATATAACAAATGTGGAAATTGTTTTGTAAAATTCCATCAGCTCTACAGATATAATAGGGATGGCACTGCCCACATTGGGCTGGGCCTGCCTACATCAATTAGCAGTCAAGAAAATGATTTACAGACATGGCAATAGGCCAGTCTGATTTGGGAAATTCTTCAGTTGAGCTTCCCTCTTCCCAGATGACTCTAGGTTTGTGCCAAGTTGATGGTTGAAGCTATAATAATGATCATTTAAAAATAAAGTTTGGGGCTAGAGAGATGGCTCACTGGTTAAAAGCACTGGGTGCTCTTGCAGAGGACCCAGGTTCGACTCCCAGCACCCACATGGTAGTAGTTAACAACAATCCATCCAGCATGG